ATGAACTGCCTTTATTAGTAGCTGAACAGGATTGACCTACAGTTTGAATGACGCTTTGCGCAGGAAAGATAATTAGCTTACATGACCTGGCTTCAGAATCACGAAAATATTTCCAAAATAAATAGATAAATAAGCACATGTCGAAATGGAAATATTCGTAATGATTCAGATTGCAAGCGAGTGCATCTCGCATCTCCGAGTACGAGAGTCTACCGCAGAAGTGTCCGGATGTTCGCGTAGCGTCACGTTTGCGTTGGTGCGCGAATCCTTCCCTGAGCCTGGCGCTGATAGACCAACGCGGGGCTACTATTTTTCAAATGAGCGCAATTCTGTTCGATATCAATATTTTCAAAATACTAGGTAGATTTGTAATCTACAAGACTGTCAAATTCAGAAAACTACCACGCTTTGCGCAGTATGCAATGTCTTCAAAATTGTGTCAGTAATAGGGTAGAAGATTAAGAATTTACGGAAATGCGCACTTCTCCATTTGAAAGGTTGTAATTTTCTTCAAATAAGAAAGTGTGAGAAGTGGTAAGAAAATTTTGAAACTCTAGATTGTTTTCTTTCCAAAAAATACTCAAACTTTTGTAAAGTTCCATTTCTTCGGGAAATCACCCCGTTGGTTTCTGTGCACATCAGAGGTTTTTTTGGCTTTCGAAGACTGAAGCTTTCTTGAGATTCAACCCTTTGCGATTCTTGTCCCCCTAAAAAAACTGGAAGGTTAACTTTCTAATGAATACTTGATCTTTTTTTCCAAAATGAACTGTTCAAAAAATCGGTCCAATTTATTTCATGAATTTTCGGAGGTACTCTCTTGAAAACACGAGTTTTCAACACTTAAACGCTCATAGCTCTCTTCAAATTCCGTGCACAAGCTTTGTGCTTCATAACGGATACTAAACCCTTTTTAGGTAGTCGCCGGCAATGCGGCATTCCAATATCCTTCCAAACTTTTTCTTGTAAGCCTTTAGCAGTCAGTCTACCCAAGTGGTCACTCTTTTACTAACTTAGGTCCAGTTTGAAGACATTGGTTCTCCTCGAGAGCATATTTGTGTACGTGAACAGTCAAATATGGACACTTCTGCAGTAGACTCTTCTGCTCTGAGGTGCGCCATGCACTCGTTTGTGGTTAATAGTTGGAGAAGCACTCGAAAGTTATACCCTCACCTACTTTGCGACAGCAGACGTCCTCATTCCAATCGTTCAAGGTTGTGAGCCTGAGCCTAGAGCTTTATTCGCATGTTTTACACTTTGTCATTCCACGCATTACGACCAGGTGACTCCTTTCAAATACGACCCTTTCCCCTCGGCAAAATACGCCCCAGACTCAGAATTCCAACCAACGATTCCTTGGATAGGTCAAGGCACGGCGACGCGATCTGTGGTATTGCTGCACGTAATACACTAGAGCAACAACTGGTTGCTTGACTTCTATTCTATTTGAATGCGTTACGAAAGGACAAGCTTATCCAGCGCGCAATGATGTACCGTTACCAGGCGGAGAGAGAGTAGCTTGTTAAATGGAGTAGCATGTTCGAAGCGGTCAGGGAAGATTGAAAGAGGAATTCACGATCAGAATGAAGCTCGAAGAAAGAGTAATTCACCTAGCTGAGAAACCGGCGGACGTCTTGAAGGTGATGACTGACGCACAATTGGCACCGAAAGCATTTGACCTCGGAGCCTAGAAGGGGCTCATTCTTGGAGCAGTCGGCGAGGTCCGCCCACCTACCCCGCCACGACCACTCGCCGCAGGTCTATACGCGGCGAGTGATACATGTACATGAGCGTAGTGTTGAAGAGGGCACAGCGATGAGAGTCGCATCAATGCTCGAATCAACGGGCAAGGAAGGGGTCCCATTTCTCGGGTTCTGGGCCGTTTCTCATGGTTCTTCCTTCTTTCGTGTACCACTCACCATCCCTAGGTTAATTTGAAATGGGTTGCTTTTTCATCGTGAATTCGTCCTTTAAGTATCTTGGAACCGACTCGCGACCGCGCAGGAAGCAGCAGCGTCAGGAGATTTTTCTTCAATAAAATTCGAGTGGAGGGAGATTTCCTCTGCCCAGGGCTGGCGTAGATGAGCGAGGGTATGAAGATTCTTTCCATGGAAGAAAACTTTCCAAATTCCATTTCAAGCCCTGCAGCCACAGTAATGCCATTGTCCCGAGTGAGAGCTTTGTCAGCCACCGGTGGCTGACATTGTCACGAATGGGTTAATAACTTTTCGGGCATACGGGTTGCCTAGGCTTCGCCCTTTTACGCAGTATCTAATCAAAACCAATCATACAGATCAATCCGTGGCGCCGGCGGGGGGGTGGTAAGTTCTTTTTCTGACCTTTTCTATTCGTAAATCCTTGTAAATGGTAGAGGGGAGCGCTGTCCTCCAATAACGAATTCAGCGATGTGTACGTTTTCGAAGAAGTTGTTAATCAAGACTCATCTTTTAGGCCTCAAGAGAGAGTTCACAAACTCACCGAAAATGCCTGAACTTATCGAGTTGTCCGAAAAGTTTGTGATGGTGAATGTAGAAGATGATGATGAGCCAGAAGATGACAAATACGCTCCTGATGGTGGATACATACCGCGAATCTTATTCCTAGGTGAAGAGTATTTCATACTATATGTTCTTATGGAACCTTCTCTATGTACAGGTTGTGTCTTTAATCTTGATGGTTCTCCACAATCTATTCCTCTCTTCAGATACTGATGCTGAGCCTTTGAAGACCAACAATGGAGCTAAATATAAAAATAACAAATATTTTTACCCACTCGTTCCACAGGTGCTTGATGGAATGCAAAAAGCGCTCGACGAGTTTGAGGCCAAATCAGGGGTGAGCTGGCAATCAATGCTACTGTCTTATATCCGATTCACTGAAGGGGGTCAACAAAATTTATTTTCAGGCTAGCAAAGAAGCCATGAAATCGGATTACTCAGACTCCAGCGATAAGAAGGAAGAGAAAACCACTGAAGAAAAGACCACCAAGAAACAAGACAAAAAAGAGAAGTCAGAGAAGAAAGATGACAAAAAGGAGAAGAAGACGGATAAGAAGGAAGAGAAAAAAGAAAAGAAGACGGATAAGAAGGATGACAAAAGCAAGAAGGAGGACGTAGACAAAAAAGAGAAGAAGGCGGATAAGAAGGACGAGAAGAAAGAGAAAAAGACGGATAAGAAGGACGAGAAGAAGGAGAAGAAGACGGATAAGAAGGAAGAGAAGAAGGAGAAAAAGACTGAAAAGAAGGAGAAGAGCACAGACGACAGCGAAGACAAGGAAGAAGTTAAAAGTAAAGGAAAAGATGGAAAGAAAAAAGAAGAAGCAAAGAAGGACGGCAAAAAGAAGGTGAGAACTTCCCTTATTTTTCAACCAATTCTTTGAAATACACAAAATACAAACAGTATGTATTCACTCAGTGATACAACTGAACTAAACTGAATGTACAATCCAAATATTATTGGCCTCTGAAAATGACTATTCGCTCCTTCATTGTTGCCCGAAAAACCTGCTTTTCAAAACAGTGTGGAAATAATAAAAGAAGGTAATCGGCTTTGACGAATTGACGCTTAAACCCAATTTGACACTTCATTGGACAAACACTAGCCTCCACCGATCCAGTACACGATGCATCGTTATGAAATGAATAATTGGGAAGAGTACTTGACGCAGTCAGCCCTACACTGCTTCACTTTTCTGAAATTGATGATTTTTTACGGATGTTCGTCCCTTGAGAGTATTCAACCGAAATTTGCAACCAGAGGTATACATACATACTTTCTCTCAGAGAACACGACTATCACCTTATCAAGCGCAAAAGCCTGACGACCGCGGCACAGGTCCCAGCGTGATAAAGTTCACCAGTTTGGCGCCGCATGCGTTGCGCGCACAGCACAGTTCTGCGGCGATGATGCGGTGTTGGTGCAGCGTGAATTTTCGAATTTGGCCCCTCGAATATTGACTTTCAGGCCAATATTCTATCCGATTGCCGCATGCTTCATCCACCGATGGCTTTTGACCTGCCCTCCTTCACCGCCGATTGTCCCTTTTTCCCAGACCTCGGACCCCTTCGGAAACCGATTTATTAAGCTCGTGGTGAAAACTCCGCGTATTCCTTTGCATGTCCCGCCTATCTTTTTCTTCCTCGCCAACCTCTGCCCTTTTTACCCGATCTCTGAACTATCTCTGAGCCGATTCATAATTTTGGCGGCGAATCCTGCTTTTTGGCGTATCCTCCGCGCACCATGGATTCACTTCCTTTCTTTGCTACTTCTCTTCCCGGCTCCAGGACTTTGCTGCAGCCAAGGTTCAGCAAATTTATTCGTCGGGAACTCGCCTACCGTGGAATTCCGCCACAACAGCAGTTGGGGCCACGTTCCTTATCACCTCCTAACATCCTTTTCCATTCCGGGATTGTTAAAACGATAGTTATGAATTTCGCCCACTCCTGTTATGCCCCGCCCACATATAGCAGCTGTCCTCCCGTGCGTTGTCAGACTCCACCCACTCTTGTCCCGGTCTCATGGACTTCTCGAAATTAAATTATAAGCTTGGGGCAAACTTCGCCCACGTTGATGCACGCCCTACCCACCACAAAGCAGAATGATCTCCCTTCTGTTGGAGGCAAACTCAACTCACTTTTTCCCGGTCTCCTGGACTTCTTGGAACCGAGTTATGAATTTTCGTCGCAAACTCCGCCCACTTTGGTCATGCCCCGCCCACCGATGACAGTTGGCCTCCACTCCTCCACCCACCTCTATCCACCTTTTTCCGGCTCACTAAGACTTCTCCGGCCCGAATTATGAGGACTTGTAGAAAATGCTGTACACTTCAGAGCGCGCTGCGTGGAGAGGACCTCCGTCTAGCGTATGTCGATTTGCGTGGGAGCACCTTAGACATTGCTGCCCCTAAACAGATTGCTTTCTGCGTGCATCTGTGGGCCTATATCTCCGAGTATGAAATTTTTCATAAAGCACTGCTTTTTTGGAGAGACGCCCGCCCACCGGGGGGGTCCCTAATTCGATGTGACTTACCAATGCACACCTTTACCCACTTTTTGGCCCAGTTTCGAGGCTGTTTTGTCACTGAAATGAAATCTTGGTCTCAGTACAGTTCATTTCGATGCACGCCACGCCCACTGTGGGCGGGGCTCCGCTTAGCTGATGTGTGTTTTGTACTTCTCGAGATATGGCCCACCCATCCCAAACTTGACCCGGACCCTGTAGGTTGTTGTTCGCTTGATACCGAATTTCGTGACAGACGGACAGACAGACATAGCGCATTATATATACTATGTAGTAGGGATTCTGTGCCCGCGCCTATTCGTTAGGCTCTAACGATAAGCACTTTTATGCCAAGTGAAACTGATATTTGTCGCTTCGATCAAAGTGTCTTGGAGACAAGTTTCCTAACGATTAGAGTTCTAGAGTGTTTTGGCGTTGCCGCCCACTGCTCGTATACCAAGCGGCTGTGAAATTTGTGTTCTTTTAATAAAACTATTCTCGAGAGCAAGTTTCTAGCCCCTCCCCTCCTCCGGAGGCAAAGTTCATTAATCATTAAAAATCGAGTTCATTTTCCGAGGTATAGGGCAATAAAGGTTAAATAGTGGCGAATCTTGTTGCAATATCAACAACTGAAGCATTCGAGTGACCTAGTCATGTTTCTTTTTATGGCTCCTCTCTCAGTAAAGAAAAATTGCTAATGAAGAATTTACGATTGTTAAACAAAAAGTGATGCCGATTGAATCGGAGTGGCAGTTTTTTACCAGGTTCTACTGACAGCGGTGTACCTGAGAGAAGATATATGAGCTTCAGATGTCGAGGAGACGGCGCGAATCACAGAAATATGCTCGCAGGCCTATGTCCAGCTTCTAATCTGCTGTACCAAATCCGTTAAATTAACGTCTGCACGGCTTTAAATGTATAAAAAGGAAAATAAATTATATAGAACTTCAGTTGATTTTAGTATCAATTCGGCGTTTTATACTAGTCTGGTACACAATTCTCAAGCACTTCACATATTCCCATGGAAACCTGAAACGTTCTTCGCGACTCACTACCCACGTTTACCAATCTCAAAAGCCAGTCACTCCGCTTGCTTGTTGCTTCCCATGACTTTCATGCGCTCTATTTCACCTTTTGAAATTGTTTCATGAGTACCTATTATGGTTTATTGAAGGCCAGACCCAAATGAAACACACGAGGAAACGCTCCTAGTCTCCCCTCTTACTACTGGCACAGTCTATTCAAGTTGGAGTTTTTTTTTAATCAAACATGAACTTTACATTAGTCGCTCCCAAGATCCACGACTTCCCAAGATGATGCTCTATTCCATGTCTGACGATATTGTAAAAGGGACCTGAGCAAGTCAGCCTTTACTTCGCAGACGCTTTTGCTTGTGACAAGATAACAGCTCTTTTTTGGAATATGGAGTTAGGACTGCACATGCTCGTAGCACGCACCGGCCCAAAAGCCGATCTAATATTGCGATGCCTCTTCTAGTTTCCTTTCGTCCCTTTGTGTGACGATCCACATTGGTTGCGTATGAGAAGTGGTGCAGTGCGCAAATTGATTCTACAACGTTGAATTCTCTGGCAAGTTGACCAGTATTCAGCCTACAGCTTCAACAATCTCACATCACAGTGCTGACTCCAAGGTCGAAGCCGTTTTGCTATGTATTTCCAAATTTTTAATGAAATACGAGAAGACTTCTACGACCTGCAGAAGCCTTCTTCCTGGAAGTAACACACTCAGTGGCAGAGCCATGTCAGCGTTTGATTCAAAACGGTTTCCTTTGATGCTGCGCCAGCCATAACTGCTAACAAAATCTAATTACTGTGAACGCGCGCACGAACACTCTTTCAGCTCACCTCTTGTCAACGAATAAGAACCTGCACTTCTTCCTGGCCAATTCCCATGAGAGGAGCTGTTATGGTTACGCTAACCAACATGTGCTCAAAATCAGCATTTGATTGTATTTTCATCAGAGGTCCACTGGATCTTGCAACAGACACAATGACCGTCTCCCCATGCGATTTCGATATTTTCCAGAATAACCAGTAATGGATAAACAACACATTGACAGAAATCCAATTCAAAAATAATCAAATTTAAAACGGCTTAAAAGAAGAACTTAATAGAGTGTGAAACTCTCTTGCTAGTGATTATTAAACATTGATTATTTACCTTCATTGTTCAGAAAACCGAGCTGTAGCGTGGAACGTTTCCTCGCGCCTTCGAAGAAGCAACCCTTGCATGTAAGGTCGTGAAAGGGTGCACAGCTTTGTTGTACGGGCCTAATTTAGTGTTTCGGAAATAAATGGTTTATATTTATGTGTTCTTTCGTTAACGGCCTTCACAACTTACCACTTTATGATGCAGTGAACAAGCTCGCCTGAGAAAATTGTTATGTAGATGATCGCGCACTTAGGTGTAGTAATAACTATGATATTGGGTTGTCCCATAATTTCTGGCCGAATTTCAACACTTTGATTTCTTCAAGTTTTATCTTTCCTAAAAACAATTGATCAAAAATATAACCACCATCATAATCACTGATATGCATCCATTTGCTAGGGAACGAATGGATGCATTCCTTCCAGAACGAGTGAAGCTGTGAGAGTCCTAGCTGCTGCTTCAGGGAGCTGGGGAGGTGATAGTACAATGGAGCAATGTCAGGGCTATACGATGGATGTGGTGTCGTGGTCCAGCCCCGAAACGTGGCGAGTTATCTTTGCAATGTGATTTCGGGCGGTCCTTCGGATAAAGGAGATTTTGAGACGTTTCGAACCGTTCTCCCGCACTGCTGCGGCCAACTTTGGAAGCTATTCCATGGTTACCTTCGCAATGCTTGTCTGCATAAAGTGAAATGGTTCTCAAAACGGGATACCCAGCGAATCCAACAAACAGGGGGTAATATCCTCTGATGAAAGAGCTCGGGCTTTGGTTGAGATGTGGGTCCAGGCTGCGAGGTAGCCACCAGGCCGCGTGTTGTTATCGTGGTAGACTCGTGACTCATCTGCACTGGTGACCAACTAGGGAACTTCTTTTTTCTATGCGGTCGCAGAATGAAACTTCTGCAGATGGTCAGGCGTGCTTCTCGGTCATGGTCATTCGATGCATGCTGTTTCCATCTAGGCTGCATTCTGCTGCAGCCCTTTGCGTTCAGGTGTCGACTCGTGGAGCGTAGACTGCACCCAGATGTTCGCTACAGTTTCC